TATATATATATATATATATATATATATATATATATATAGCATACTGCTTACACTTTACTGCACTAATGACATGAAATCTGATCTCACTGTTCTGAATTCACATCGCGTAAGAGTATCATGGCGTTTTAATTGGTACCTTGAACGCGTCTGAAACATCAGGTCACTCTCTCTAAATCCATCATCTACTTTCTTAAACTTGCAGGCGTTTGTTAGCTGGTAACCGATAACATCAGTTGGTTCGTGGATAACATATGGGACGCGAAGTAACGTTGAAATATTTTGAAAGGAAATGAGTTTGTAACGGTGAGAAGGCGGTGGCTAACCGCCTGAGCTAAGGTGTTCATTTGCTCCGGATAGAAACACGTAGCAACGCTAATTGACAGTCTCAAGATCTGTTTGATTCAAACAGAACTTGTATTTGAACCGAAACGAACCAAAATTAATTTCATCTTGCAATCATTTGTTTAGACTCCGTTACTAAAATTCCTCGAATTTCGTTCTGTAGTTAAGTAAATTAAATATTAAGCCGGGCAGACAGGCATCACCTCATTACGCGCTCACGTGATCCCACGCCTCCTTCTTGCTGTTACGTCCGTTCTTTACCCGCGCATTACTCTCCCCCGAAAACAGCAAACAAAAATTATCAGCCGTGCTAAGTAGAACGTTATTTCAACGTTTTTGTCACCCACATTACAAATAATTCTGAAACAAACGTGATGACTTGTAAAATAGAACATTTTACATCTCTCGTAATTTTTTTTAAATCTTGGGCGTCTGTTAGGAATCAGAGCGAACAACAAAATGGGTTTAATAGAAAACATCTAACTAACTAACTAACTAACTAGATGGCTTACTGAACCCGAAGGTTCATCACCGAATTAACCAAAGCCCTCCACCGGACCCTGTCCTGGGCCACCAAAATCCAGTCTCCTTCAACTCCTATCTCCCATAGATCCCGCCTGAGATTATCCTCCCATCTACGCCTAGGTCTCTCCAGAGGTCTCTTCCCCTCAAGCTTCCCAAGTAGTGGACCCAACCAACCTAGATGGCTTACCGAACCCGGAGGTTCATCACCGAATTAACCAAAGCCCTCTACCGGACCCTGTCCTGGGCCAACAAAATCCAGTCTCCTTCAACTCCTATCTCCCATAGATCCCGCCTGAGTTTATCCTCCCATCTACGTCTAGGTCTCCCCAGGGGTCTCTCCCCCTCAGGCTTCCCAACGAGTACCCGGTGCACACCTCTTGTCCCATCCATTCGGTCTACATGCCCCGCCCATCTCATTCTTCTCGACTTAATCACCCTGACAATACTGGGGGAGGAGTACAGATTTTTAAGCTCGTCATTGTGCAGTTTTCTCCACGCCCCATCGTCTTCTCTCTTAGGCGCAAATATCCTTCTCCACACCCGATTCTCAAACACCTGCAATCTGTTTTCCTCCCTCTGAGTGAGAGACCATGTTTCGCACGCATACAAAACAACAGGCAATATTATCGTTTTGTATATACAAATTTTCAGGTTCTTAGAAATCGGACGGGAAGACAAAATATTTCGAACTAGAAAACATCTACCTGGATATTTTAACTGAAGGGTGCTGTTCCTATACTTAAAACACCGGTACCCAAAAACTGCAATCCCACTGTATTGATGTGTTTTGTAGACCCTCCTTGAGGCTGGCTACCTCTTTATAAAGCAGTATCATAGCCCAGGCAATTAGTCGCCAACTTATCACAGCGGATAACCGGGCCCAGGTACGTCTATTTGGAATTTGCTTTGGACGAAATGGCACTGGGATAGGTTTTTCTGCGAGTCCTTTGGATTTTGTCTGCCAGCGTCATTTCACAGACACTCCTCAGTAATTTCTCATTTCGAGAATGGGCAGTGGGCCCATTAGCGGGTTTATTTCCACACAGACATCGTCTCATGCCTTCTCAAAAATAAAATAAATCCGTTTAGATTTTTTTTTTTACAGTCTGTAGATGAGAACCGCCATCTTTGGTGTTAAAGTACTGTACGTAAAATGGTTTTAAGTCGGACGGAATGTAGCATATCACATTTAGTTTTCTAGGTAGACAGTTGCAGGTGCTTTTAAAAGTATATGGCTGACATTTAAGTTGAGATTTTTTAAAATAAAAATAGGTCTCACACACACGACAAGGGGACAGCTTATAGTCTGATGTAGACCGTCGGAAGTTGCCAGACGGACTTGACATGCGTTCACTTCGTGAAGATACGTACACCTGTACGACACTGTAGTTGCGAGATTGAATTGTGTCCGTCTTCTGGTTAGGGTACGTGTCAATTAGTTTCATATTCAACCATTTCCGGTTTCAGTTTCTATTATACTTCTATTATATTCTTGTAGAAGAGAATCCAGGCTCCCACATTGGTGTGTATGAAGATGGCTATCTTCTGGGATATTGCGCCGTGTGGTTTGGTAAATGTCTACCGATATTTCCTCGCTGTATTGCGTCTGATTGCTAGACATTTCATTGTAATTTTTTTTAAATAGGTCGTTCATTAATCCTGTCCAGCGTTTAGCACAAATGAAAGACTATTTCTATCGATTTTACAGTCAGTTTGGTCACATTTTACCACGGCCAACGAACGCAACTGTTTTGTATGTGGTGATGGATTTCTAATGCTATGACTCACCCCGTGAAGCTTGGCAGATAAGCCATCTGCACTGTGCGTTGGAAGACGTCCTCTTTCCTGCTAACTGGAGGACCTCGCGCCGAGTATACGCGTCACAACTGCACGTCATTCTCATTGTGCCGTAAAACTATGCTTGTGTTGTACTTCTGAAAACAGAATCAGAGAGGACATGTTTAAATTAGAGGTCGTAGGTGTTTGCTACTAAGACACGAAGGTTTAACACCGCTGTCACAAAATGTCTCTTTTTGTGGACCCAGAGCCAGTTCGGTTCACGACCTGTTTTATGAAGATAATTTTTTTTAATAGTATTCTGCTATCTCAATAGGTTTATTTTAAGGAACAGTGTTCTCAGATGTCCACATCAACTTTCGGAATGCATTTCGTGTTACACTGACTGAGCTTTGACTTTGAATTGACTATCCCTAAAATAGGTTAGATGCATACGAGGTGCGATCGGAAAGTTTCAAGACTGTGTCAATAGAGGGCGAACCGGATGTAGTACGAGCTTCTGCCGCTAGGGGGTGCGGCCTACATTCATAGTGAATCAGTGTGCCAGCCGGCATCATCGAATTAGCATTTGTTTCTTAGTTACGGGCGTTTTGGTAGTGCATTACACCGACCCTCCTGCGATTTCGGAATGGCGGGTGCATCAAATTTTGCCAAAGACTCGCCAAAACCGCTACGGAAACCTATGAAATGCTAAAGCAAACATTTGGGGAGTCCGCAAACTTTTGTGTGGCATTCACGTTTTAAAAATGGCCGAACCCCTGTCGATGATGACGAGCGTTCTGGACGACCATCTTCGAGCACAACGCCCGAAAAAGTTACGAAGAT